TCGCTGCTGCATGTACACGCGGAGGATACAAATGTGTATCTCGCACAAACGCATTATATGCACCATATACATATTTGCCAGGCTATAAAATAGAGCAGTTTATATATCGGATGAGATCCTCTTCCGGACAGCTGATGTGCAGTGTGTGCACAATATAAGAGAGCGAAAGAGAAACAGGCTGAAAAATAAATCAGTTTATCGAGCGACGCATACTTTGCTATATATAAGGAACGCGCATAAGCCGACGAGCGAGAGAGAAAAACGCGCCTATATAGGCCCTGCGCGGATCGATTTATTTGCCAATGCGTATATAAGTACACGCACATGTTCTCTCGCATCGAAATCTATTGTACTCGGCCGAGTCTAGGCAGACGCGCGCACATTGCCGCATTGCCGAAATCGGACAAAAGCGAGAGAAAGAGAGAGAGAGAGAGAGAGAGAGAGAAGAAGCGAGACAGAAAAGACGGCCTAGCTAGCTGCTCCGCAGAGGTTCTCAATTTTCAAACATCCGAAATTATACGTGACCTTCGAACTTGGATTTTCGCTTCTTATAAAAATTCGATTTTGACACATTTATACGTTCGATAGCCGAGCGAGCAGATATTTTTTTTGACGTCGGCCCTGCGAGTACGAGACAAAAGAAATTTTTCCCTCTTAATTAGCCGCGAAAAAAATATAACTGCATTATAATTTTTAATCAATAAATGCAAATTCGAAGAGTTTTACCGTTGAATCGTAAAGCAATGATCCTGCTAATTAGTAGCTCCTCTGGCTCCATATATAAAGTGGCCAATGATCCTTTTTTGTAAATACGCACACATTGTATATTATAATAATGTGCGGTGTGCCGTGCGAAAGAAATCGTAAAATTCAGCTTTTATGCGAATATAAGTATTCGAGAAACTGGAAATCGATCGCGCGCCGCTCTACCTGTACGAAATTTCTGCGAGCGCCTCGTATACAGATAATGTGTATATATAGGTACAATATATGTGTGTGTGCCGCGACCCGTTCTCGGGATCACTCTCTTGAAACAGATACGATCTTTTCTCTCTTTCTCTCTTTCTCTCTTTCTTTCCCTCGTCGCATCGTTATAGTCCTGGGTAAGCATGGTAGCAGGATCTTTTTTTCAAAGTACCTATAATACACTCGCGTATATGCGAATAGGCATCATCGATCAAAGCGCGGACAAACGCATCGACAGTGTACTTCAGTTTGTGTTATGTGCATTAATACTGGTGACCTGATGCATGCAAATTTATAGACGAATATGATATCTATTATTTAAAAGCTCCATTTCGTAATCAGTGGGATCGATTGAAATTTTCTTCGAATCCGCGCTAAAATTTGAATTATCTCCAACTGCACTCAAAAGATCAAAGACACACGAGCTCGAAACTTTGGCAAAAATCATCCAGCGATACCGTATCGTGAGAACCATACACATCGAGGATATCTCGTCGCATCAGCCGTGTTCCTAATCTCGGAAAACGGCGCACATGCACGGAGCATCGTGATCGCAATAGCCGAATTGTGCAACGCAATATATGAAAACCGGTACTGCGCTGCGAGCAGCATATAACATTATAGAGCGTGTGTGTAGCGCTTTTGATCTTGCGACAAGATTTTAGCGCGCAGCTCGTACATGTGCCGCAGCGCTTGCGTGCGTGAGTGTGTGTATGCATGTCTGTGGCAATGTTGTACGGACCGGCCGTCGCAAAAGCGACAAACACAGGCTATATAATATAGCGTAAAGACGTACGAGCGCGCGACGGCTGGCAGCTGCAACGGAGCTGCTGCTGCTACTACTGCTGTTCTCCTCGCTGTGTGACACGCGCCCATTGTCAGGGGGTCTCTCTGTCTCGCGTGGCATATCGAAAAATGAAAAATCGCCAAACGCGCTCGCAAACGTTCGTTCACCTGGGCGCTGCTGAGCTGCTCCTGCTGCAAAAGGACTATCCACCATATCCTCTCTTTTTCTCGTGCCAAGTCTCTTATTCTTCACGTATATCTCGGATCCAATACGTAACGAGCTGCAGCAGTAGCAGCTTGCAGCTTTATTCTTATATAATGTACAAATATTTAACGAATCTGCAAGTAAGTGATTCTGTGCGTAAGGAAAATTTTGTAGTAAAAGTGCAGATATAAGGGAGAAGTGGAAAACAATGCCAAGATTAAGGGCAACAAGTAGGACTCGCGTAAATAATAGAGATATCGATGTATGCACTACTGTATATCACGAGGGGCTGCAAATATAAGGCGCATGTTGCGGGAGTCGATTATCATCGTCGTGTATCGTACGTCGCATGCGACCCCACCGAGACAGAAAGCTCCAAGATGCCTATACATATCTTTGCTGGTACATACGTATATACAAGTGGGTCATTGAGGGTAATGCGTACAAGCAGCATGTATTTGTACTTGTTGTGCCGGGGGGAGGGTTACCGCGCGCATAAAAAAAAGGAGTGCTCCGATCATCGTATCGGGCCCTGCAGCTCTTATACATACGTATGTATGTGCATATATAGTATATGGTGGCAATAAACTCGTGACGTGCTTGTTAAAGGAGCATCAGCCCTTTCCGCGGTGGCCTATATGGGCGCACTAGCCGCTCGTCGGTCCTTTTGGGCCATTGAAGAGGGCCACGCGCGAATACGTATATATGAGCGAACCCCCTGATCAAGACGAAAAATCAGTCGAGGAACTGCATGTGTGTGCTATAAGGTAGGCACACACCTTGACCGACCAGCAGCAAAGTCACATACATTATATAGTTATATGCGTATTTCCCCTTCGAGGAGGAAGAGAAAAAAAGAGTCAGCTCGCGCACCCTCGCACCCCATATACATATGTAAACGTAAAGTACAGAAGCACTTGCTCTAATAAGGTAACTAGCTTTCTCTCTCTCTCTCTCTTTTTCACCACCAAGGTAGCAGCAGTAGCTTCTCTCTTTTTCTTTCTAACTCACTCTCGCAAACAACATTAAAGCAGCCGAACGCGTGTACTGGCTATACTATACGCGCCTATGTGATGTGTGGGTAAAAAGCACGTGGACAAGGGCAACTGCGGCGCGAGCCAACCGGGGACCTATATACTAATCTGTACCCACGCGCGGGTGAAAGCACACATACACCAATACACAACCTACTCGACTAAAAGCAAGGTGCACCATGCTCGAAGGGTATGCAGTACACACATATACGGGGATACAGCGCACCACACATACCTTTTGCTTTTTCGCCTACTACGTTGCCGACAATTCACCCCATGTCCCGATTCTCTCGCTCTCTCTCTCTCTCTCTCTATACACCTCGAAATTGTAGGTGCACGAGCACGCGCCTATATATGCGTATATATACCCCCGTGATTTAATTGAACGTAGGTGCCACCGCTGCCAACCATATACGGTATATGGTCCTAGTATGAATGATCGCGAGGTCGTTGTACCCAAGGCAGTTGCGTGTCTGTCGATGAAATTGAAGATTCTTGGAAAACAGAAGCCCCGATATAACATATCGAGCGCAATTTTTTTGGAACGTCAAACGTGCGCGTGAGCTCCGAAAACAATCATCATAACAAAGGATGCGAAATAAATATATCTACGAGCCATGAGCAACAAAATCGAGCGACGACGTGTGTTCAAGACGATGATTTATCGTGTGTATGTGAGCTGTGTGGCTTGCGAGTCGAGGAAATCAATGATATCCATCGGTTTATTAGACAGTGACCAAGTGAAAACAACGAAAACAACAAAAAAAAAACAAAACAAAATGCGGCTATACAAGTGAGCTTTCATTGGTCATCGTTTCCTTGCAAAGCACTCGCGGTAATTAATTATTCATCGTGAAAGTCGAAAATTTGACGTTTCGCGTACTTTACATAGTGAAATATGCTCGGAAACATAATCGATGCACGCACCTTTTTGTTTTTTCGTAAAATTATAGTTTTTCTTTGCGCAATCGTAAAAATTGCTCAGCCGTCACAACATCATATAAGTATCGGATGAGGATTCGTAGTTAAAAAGAATGACAGTAGATTTTCATGGATCCACAATGGATGTGAATCGATACTTAAGATCATTCAGAGTGGATCGAAGCGTTTTCTTCCTGTCTCTGTGTACAATATTATGTATACAAATGTCGCAACTTCCAAACACTCTCTCGCGTCATCAGTCAGTTTTTATATAAGCCGAGTATTCAAGGACCAGCTTATCGCGATCGATACTATAGCCGCCGCTACCGCCGCCGTGTCGCGATCTCTCCGTCAATATATACCTATAGATCAGGCGCACATTATATTATATTCCTTAAAAGCTGAATCGTAGCGGCTCACGCACAATATATTTATGTGTATAAGAGCTCGACGTTGTGTACTTATGTGTATCTTATATGGCTTTGTATGTGTGTTTGTGAGTGTGTGTGTGTGTGTGTGTGTGTGTGTGTGTGTGTGTGTGTGTGTGTGTGACGTTGTTGCTGGCGTTGGGCTTTGCTGCGCTCGTTAGAAACATCTGCTGTCTCTAGGGTAGCATATTCCGGCGCGTGGCCGCGCACCAATCAGCGGCCTTTTTCCGTGCCGAGCGCGCGCTTACCGGCACGCCATTATACATACACTGACACTCACACACCCATACACTCACGGACTTGCATACAGCAACGACCTTTTATTACCGTTTTCTCATTCCGTCTCACTCCGGCTTTTTACCCCTCCTTCTTTCCTATTATATTCAACTTTTTGCGCGTGTATGTGTTTGTGCACATGTATAAGTAAAGTAAGTCCAGCCGCACACGCATCATGCGCCGCCACTGACGCTGCTGCTACTGCTGCTGCCGCTACTGCAGCAGTGCTGCGGAACGAAAGTATTATATGTACGCGCACGTTACGCCGTGTACGTAATCTGCCCATGGGCACACGATGGTAGCAGCACGAGGGCAAGACTTGGTGCAATGATGCGAAAAGAGGAGAAAAGTCTATACATAGATGCGTGTAAAAGACGCACTTCCTTACCTGGATCCACGCAAATGTGGCCGATTCTCATCTTCGCCTGCATCGCTTCGAGGGTTGTTGTTTATATACCGCCGGGAGGATGACGATCGCGCGCGACGATATATGTGCCGTGTGTAAAATGCCATTGCTGCCACTGCTGCTTCTGTGCTGCATATTTCACCAAGACCACGATGATCATTATCCTTGTTTCTCTCTCGATCCTGAATATACTTGATACTTTTCGTTTTTCCATTAAGTATCGCCCTTGGACGTGGCGATCGTCCCGCTGTGTGTGCATGAATATAAGCGATGAGCTCCATTATTTCGCAGTAGCGCAGCTTTGGCGAATTATCGATCTAGAAATTCAAAATTATAGATTAATATCGCTGGCTCAGATTATGTCATAATTCTATGACGTACTGTATATAAATTGTTGGCGCTATTAAAGGCATCATTTTTGTCGTAGAACCGAAGCCGAATTTTTCAGAAGCCGTTTCGACAAAAATTGCGATCTGGAAGATCCAAAAAGGGAACAAAAAAAATTTAATTCGTTCTTACGAACGCGAGCGAAAATAGATAGATTTTTGAATTGTGGTATAATTTGCAGATTTTTTCGGTCAGCGCGCGAGAACGTATACTAATTTCCTCATAGGCTCAGGTATATGCGATATATAAAGGGACAATTATGCGCCCGCGCGAGCGGTCGACCATACATGTAGGATCAAATGATAGGGTAGCTCTCGTCGGCATCGTATCGAGTTATGTATACGTACAAAAATTTGTAATTCATCTTTTTTTCCTCGATATAATTTTTTGGTCCGAAATAAAATAAAAAAACGGAACGGAACAGAAAGCAATATAGCGCGACGCCGTGACTAATTAGCCGGTGAAACGAATTTTTATTTTTTTATTTTATTCAAATGCTAATGAGCTACACGCGTGTGCCGAGCGATAATTTAGCGCGCTGTGCGCACAGGCGGTAGCTCGTGTAGCTGCTGCCGCTGTGTGGCACACGTGGGAGTCGTTTTTAGTCCTCGTCCGGAAGCGTACTTCATGAATATTGTCCACGATCTCGTTTTTATGCGTGGAAATATATTACAGGATGATTAAAAACAATGGCAATTGGAGCGAAGGTCCGAGCAGATACCAGCAAGTTTTCGGCACGCGTCTCTGTGTACTGCTATCATTATCTCGATGTCTTGAAAAGGAGCCGCGCACGCGTAATAGCCAGGAGCAGTTGCTTGGCTTTCCTTTCGGTTTGTTTTGGGCCTACATATTATGGTATTGTACACAAAAATCTAATAACTTGAAGAATTTCGACACATTATGATAATTATTGGAAAACATCGGCGAGGCAGATGCGCAACGACTGGTTCAAGTGATTGTTCATCTTTCACCAAAGCCAGCTGGTTTATACACATTTATCGATTCACATGTTGTCACTTTGATCTTAAATACATATACACTCATTTCGAGTACGTTGCATTAATAATTTACATATATTGATATAAATTTTCAATTTGGAGAAGCTGCGAGCCCGATCCCGTTAATTGACGACTCGAGTCGCGCGGCGCGCGCTCCTATAATATGTGTGATCAAGAAGAAAACGGGAGGAAACCACACAAAAGCGCCGATATTTCACCTTTTGCTTTGCGCGCGCCTATCACCCTCTTTATATATATTTGGCAAAGCTGCTGCTGCTGTTGCTGCTGCTACTGCTGCACTATACATGTAAGGAACTCGAGAATTACGAGGTACGATGAAGCGTCGTACCGTATATAAGGCTATTGTGACATTAAAGTAACAGGCAGCAGTAGACATTGTGCTGAATTACGCATTGTTACCTCTATATGTACACTATATAGGTATATATATGCGAGCAGCTGAATAATCCACTGACGAAAGTCTTATATAGGAACGAGAAAAGTAGGTGAAGGCTCGCGCGCTTACAATATTCGAAAAGTAAAATAAAAATTTCTGTCATTATATATTTGAGGATGATTTCGTTCACGTGTTTTGGATGATACGAACTTTAGTCCTTTTCCAACCGAAGCCAAGTTCCGTACTGTCGATATGTATGTATCGAAGCTTCCGATTTTGAGTCACGCCTTCAAAGGATGACGCTTATATCGAAAATCAATCGTTTGATCAGCTTCGGCGGTGTTCAGAGCTATAACTGCTGCTTGTCGTGTCGCAGGCAGAGCGCGATCGATAATATTATGTACTCGTATCCTGTACAATTTATAATCAGCACACACGGACACAAGCTGAAGCGGAGCGCGCGCGGCACGCGCCTCTGCCCGCGCCGCGTTCTTGTCGCTGGAAAAATGGGCGTCGCACACGTAGCAGCAAGCTACGCCACTACACGCCACTTAACAGTCGAAAAGAAAAATCGATATTATATATATAATATTATACAGAGGAACTGCGCGTCGCGCAGATGCGCCCAAGAAAGTCATATTATATATTATACGATATATAATTCATGAATTATTAGACCAGCTTACGTGATATACATGTATAATGGCCCCGAGGACTTTAACGACATTCGCCGTCTGTTTCTCTGTCTCTCTCTTAAAAAGACTTATGTTACTGTACTATATACACGGCACGGCGATGTAAAATCATGTTGTCCAGCTAAATTAATTGTCACGGTTTCTAACGTTTCGCGCGAATACGAGATCGGCACACATGTAACCTGGCATAATATAATCTAGTGTGCGCGCTCGAATGCACCCTCCGTTGTTATATGTGTTTGCGCGCCGCTCGCTGAGATTGACAATTTCACGTGTGCGCGCGTGAATAGAGATGCCCGTGTATTTACGCTTCGACTGGTAATTTTAGAGCTTTTTCTTGTAAGCTGATTTTGGCCTCAATGGCGCAATTTCTTCCCGTCGCGCGGAAAACACGTCATTTATCATAATTTTTTGCAGCGTGCACGTGTACTTTTTGCGCATATGCGAGCACCGTGATTCCTAATCACTTTGCAGAGTCTCTCGTTGAAACAATTAAAAATCTGCTCTCTCAATATGCCCGCATTTGTTGTACAGCGTGTGCTCTCAGCTTCGAATCCATCCATTCGCAAATTTCAGATTTAGAATTCGACAATGCACATCCGATTCATCCTGTGAGCTTGTACGTATCATCCATTCGAGTGCGCGCACCACCACTGCACGCTGCACGTACAGCAAATAAATAATGGCCAGCGCGAGCGATCGAGTGATAAATGTGAGAATGAATGAGCAATTTTTATTTTTATTTTTATCCGTGGTCCAGTCCTTCTACTGTCTTTTGAAAGAGACGAGAGGATATGTGACTTATGGACTGTGTCTCTGTGCTTGTGTTTGCGCGCAATAACAGCAGCAGCAGCAACGCTGAATCCAGATCGCGACAATAATGCCTGCTGCTTTTGATCTTTTTACTTCTTCACTTGAATATATGTAACGCATAAAAGTTCCCATCGAGTCCTGTGTATATCACTTTGCGAAAGTCCTATACTGTAAAGCAATATAATAGCTGTCGGGTGTGTGTGTATGCGTGTATCTGTTACGTGTGTGTGTGTTTGTGAGCGTACTGACCAACAAGTCTCACTGACCGACGACTGGATTCGCTCGTTTATTCTCTTTCTCTGGCATGCCCGAAAAACTATTGTGCCACGAATTTTGTAGTATTAAATTGATCGTGTATATGTGCGAGAGACGAGATATTCGGAAGGAAGGAACCAGATTTTTAATTTCGGATGATAATGCCCACATATGTTTCGCTTGCTTCTCGCTTTAAAACGCAGGATGTACCTGAATTTTTTTTGCTCGGTTACACAATTGTGACAAATTTTTATTTCACTTATCCACTTACACATACATGTAAGATGATGCTGTATCGTTTATAGTTACCATTACAAAAGTTCAAATGCGAGAACTGAAGTTGCGCTGAAAAAGGATCCTTATTTCCGTACGTTGTCCATCGATTCTGGAGGAGAAGAAACATTATCGCCGATTCTTGTACGGCCTCAAGGCATTGTTTACATAAATTTCTCTAACCAACGATACACAATCATGTATTTCTTTTCAATAATTACAAATGTAACAACTTTTAGCGTATCTTAGTACTGAAACTTGGGACATAATGAAAAAAAGCAAGAATTTACTAAACAACATGAATTTTGTTCTCTATTCGTATTTATTTTTTGTAGTTTTTAATTTCTGAAATACGTAGTTCATCTTCCTTTCTTCATTGTAGACAAGGTCCTTTTTAGTGAAAAAATGACTACATTCAAGAAATTTAAATTCGGTAAAGTTATGAAAACTACACAGTGATCATTATTGTAGATTCCAAACGAGGCAATTCGCTCCGGAATTGAGACGAACGTTGGTCTCGTATCTATGGGCAGCGATTTAACAAAAAAAATAAGGTAAAAAAAAACGAAAAAAGAATCCTCGAATCTTTCTCTCTGTTGCGCATCCGATACTCGGCAAGAGCCAAAGCTCTCCACGGATGTACAGGCTGCAAGAATGGTCCGAAAATCCTGCGAAAGGCGCATGCTTGATTCAAAGATAATAGCTCTCTCGCAACTCGCTCCGTCTCTCTTTCTCTCTCTTTCGAGTTCGAGCAAAAAAAAAGGAGAAGAGCGGCTAGCGTTTATATATGAAAATCGCAACGCACAGCAGCAGTCAGGCTGTGCGTTTTAATACTTTCTCTTTTGCTATGTGCGTATATTCTTCGTTCGTCGTCGTGAGCTGCAGCTCTATATAAATGCGTCAATTTCTCTACGCACTTTCGTTCGTCTCTATATAGTAGCTATATGTGTGTGTAAGCAGCCAGTGCTTATGTTGGTGTGCGTTAGGCTACAACACATAAGGGAGGTTGGCTGCGCGACGATCAATGCGTGAGCGCGCGCGTATATACGCACAGTCTGTGCGCTCGAAACACAGCAGCAGCAGCAGCACAAGCAGCAAGCAGATCGTCACCATGGCAACACAGGCTGCACACGCAGTACCCGATCCGCCTTGATAATCGTCCTTCCTTTTCAACCTACCCTATGTGTGTATGTGCGTATACGCACACCACGACAGAGCCGGCAGAGTTGGCTTCGTGTGCGTATATACTTGGTCGTCGTGCCGATGTGCCTTCGAGTGCGTACATGTGTATGCGTGTGCGCGCACCTCCCCTAAATCTATTTCTCTCTTTCTCACACTCTCCTCCTACTTGCTTTCTCTCTCTCTTCGTTATAACCCAAGCTAGATTGCTGCTACTTTCAGGCGCGAGTGCGCTGCTTCTTTCTTTCATTCTTTTTCTTTTTTCTCTTCCTTTTTTTTTCCTTTTTTTTTTTAAGCGCATGTAATTTCAACAGCCACCG